ATACTTTGGATTTTTTAGTTTGATCTACTGGCTCCCAAAATTACCAACTAGATTCACTTTCCTACCAAAAAATATTTCGAAGACGAAAATTCGAATATTTTTTCTTCTATAGAATTTATGTAGGGACACATAWAAAACGYCAGCGTCGAAYGTTAGTACATTCATTACTCAACTCAAAAAATAAATAAAAATATACTCTTGAAAATCAAAAATGTGACCTTAAATCTCAAAATACGAGTGAAAGTTGTTGCTAAATTAAACAGAAAATATGCACCACATAACATTTGTTGCTCAAGCCAATGCAATTATTATATTACATACCCGTTGGACGGCGGTTTGTTCTGTGTTTGTTGTTGTTGCCCGTACCGAGTGGACGACGGTTGTTGCTGTTGTGGAGACCGATACTGCTGTTCGTACCGCATGGATGGCGGCGGCGCCATCGGCTGTTGCTGTTCGATGCGTGTGTGCATCGGCATGTAAGTTTCATACCGCATCGGCTTTTGCGGCGGTTCGTACCGCATGTGCTGCTGCACCATCGGCTTGTTACGCTCGTCATACCGCATAGCCGGCGACTGCTGATCGAGGTACGGTTTTGGATCGACGTCGATGATCGTGAATCTCGGTGGCGGCACCATCGGTGGTGAGCCGTTTTGCTGCCGATCGCCCCTTACGTCGATCACTCCAGAATGGACGACCGCCACCTCCGGATACTTGTCGCTGTTGTACAAGTTGTTATTTCCCCCACCGCCGCCGCCACCGCTGCTACCACCACCACTTCTGTAGGGCTTTTGCAATGGCACTTCGACTAAATCCTTGTCCCACGATGATCCCCTGTTGTCCCACGACGATCCCCTGTTGTCCCACGAGCTGCCTCCGTCTCCACCGAGCGGCTCTCTGTCCCACGAGCCGCTGCCTCTGTTGAGCGGTTCCCTGTCCCACGAACCACTTCCCCTGGTTAACGGTTCCCTGTCCCAGGAAAACGACGGCGCGCCTYTGTTAATGTTGTTGAACGACACCCGATCCTTGTCCCAAGATGACGACGACCAGCTCTTGTAGAATGGTTCGGCCCAGGACGCGAACTTTGACGTTAGCTCGTTGGGCCGGTAATACGAATCGCGAAACTCGGCCGGTTCGTCATATCTGCTGTTGTACACGCCGTTGACACCAACACCGATGATACCACTTCCTCCCTGTATACCACCACCGCGGTTGTAAGCGTTTTCGTAAGACGTCAATCGGCTACGTTGCAAGCTATCCGGTGGAGATTTCCTACGAATGAAACATATACAGTGTCAAAGATCAAATTTTTCAAATAAAATATATCCAACTAATTACATATTTTCCGTAATAATTATTAAGTAGACACTTTTTGTTCGCAAAGTTATGCCACTCTGATCAATGTTTATAGCCTTATAGGTGATCAATCTTATTGTGTTAGTGATTGAGTAAAAGTATTTAAATGCATTTTAGAGCTCTCAATATACGTATGTTAAATAATTTCAATCTTTAGTTTATACATTTATATTTCATTTTTAATTCTRTCAAGTTAAATAAAAATTAAAAATACATTTGAGTTAAAAAATATAATTTATGTGAAACTACGAAATATTACAAATTTCCAAAAAGTTTTGTTTTTATATATCTCGATTGAATACATCAGGTAGTATGGATTTAGTAATTTATTGATCGAGTCTAGTACACAGTACTAAAAATTGTTATTACTTTATTAGGTACACTCAACTATATAAGTTAAGTTACAAGAAAYAAAAATGATAGGCACCTAATTTTATAAATTTTTAATAACTACTATTAGCGTATTTCTGAACCATTATSTAATGCGTATATATGTTTAGAATAATATACCTACCTACTCATTTCGTCTTCGTGTGCCATATACCCAATTTTATCACATAATTTTTACTTCGAAAAAATTATTGTATTAACAGTTATTTACATAGTTACACCAATTGATACGGTGTAGAATAGCGTAGGAAATACGATTATATTTGGCATTTTAAGACATCAAGACATCAACAGAAGGCCCTTCTAGAATACTGAGTAAATCTTTTATGAGAAATAGGGCCTCATTTTGGGTTTTTTCATCTGGGCTGCATTGTTATATTTACAGCACTATTTAAAATGTCTAGTCTCTAGTTTGCTTCATAAAATTAGTGCGAGATATGAAAATGCTAAAAAAAGTATATTCTATTTATATGGTTAAAAAAATGGTATGTAGACAATTTGAAAGTACCTATGTAACTTCTTTTAACCGCGAGCAGAACCCTATACTTAGGAATTTTAGAAGCTGGAGCTAATTTTTTGGTGTAACCTGTAACCCCTCTACCTAAATTATAAATTCAGTTGTTTTTACTATATCGTTTTTTATATTCAATTTAGTTCTAAGATTATAAATGTATTATATCTATAATGGTTTATCTATAAATAATTATTTAATGTTGATTAGTATAAATAAAACGTATGTGACTGTATTACGGTCAAAGGCGCCGCGAGGGGGTGCAATTGCACTGCCCCCAAGCAAAAGCCCCCTGACTTTAAAAAAAAAAAAWTGTTATTATGGTATTGAAAAGATTTTTTTGCATAATTATCTATTAAAAACTTTGTATCCGACGAAAAAACAAAAATAACTTTGTATCGTCATATAATTTGAAAAATAATTTCTACGTATTTAACTAAAATAATTTAAACATTAWTTAGAAATCAAAGTATACACTATGCACGATGCACCCCCCTGACAAAAAATCCTGGCGGCGCCTGTGGTTACGGTAATATATTTAGCCCTATAATAATTATGTATGGACCTAGTTCTGCAGTCTCACTACCTAATYAGGCAACTGCTAGCGAATACTCAAAAATCTAAGTGGTATATAGATACACTTTTGAAAACCGGTACCTGTAGCTTTACCTATACTTGAATACCTTTAAAAGTGCCTTTTATAACGTTACTGTAGGTATATTATACGATACACATTTCAAACTTTCAGTGTACCTATAATATTATATTATTAACTGCGGTTACGTACCTGTTGGAGTCTTGCAGTTGCCTGAAATCAGCGGAAAAGGGACCGGGGCCGAGCGCAAACGGATCAGCTGAATAAGCGGCCGAAGGCGTAGGGTAACCGGACGGTGGCCGGATCACGTCCGGCAGTGTCGCGTAGTAAATGATCCGTTTGGACGTCCTCTGCACGGCCGGCTGCTGCTGGCGCGAGTGCTGGTAAAAGCTACTGTCCCGCTGCTGATGGTAGAACGCTGCACCGGCCGCCGCTAGAGGAGGCTGAGTCGACGGTAGCTCTTCGACGCGCGAGTACACGTTGATTTCGGGCCTAGGTCGCTGCCGTTCCGCCCAGCCGTTGGACGTGACAAACTTGTGGTTCCGCGGGTTCCGCACCTCCACTTCGGCGGATCTAAGGTACCGATCGCACGGTGATGTGCCGTTGTTGACGTCACCGCTGTCGGACACCAATGCGGACGGCGGTGATCGGTTGTCGTCGTCGTTGGTCCTCGCTTCAGGCGCGTGTGCCGCCGATTTTATCTGCGCGACGTCCGCCGAAACGATTGGTCGCAGCGACCAGACTACGGACAACAGGACCACCAACAGTATCTCCTTCATCCTGTCACGAATACCGCGGTAATCAAAACGACTTAGTGGTCGACGTTTTATAAACCGAATTTATGTACTTAGGTAATACCTTAGCTTGTCAGCTGGTATATGTGTAATACCTATTACTGGCTGTGTGTAATATTATATATTAATATATTACACCCAGTGCACTATTCGCCGTCAAATCTGTAGGAAATTATTAAACGAATATAACATTAATTTTATAATAAAATATTTATATAATAATAGGTCACATCGTTGTCGAGGTCGAGTTACAAACTACAATAATATGATAGTCATTGTTATAATTTTCGTTTTTTATATTTTTGTRAATAACAAACGGAAAAGATTGAGAATTATTATTATTAATATCGATAAGCATAAATGTTTAATTTGCCGTGAAATATTTGATGGTTAATAGGTTAGGGTATACAATTATYGGTTTATAGATTATTGCAGATGCAGTGAACAGATTTTCTGCTGTGATATTATAGATAATAATATGATGAAACTTAAATTTTCAAAATAACGTAATATAATACGTACGAGTATGTATATAAATTCATGAAAATTATTGGTTCTGGTTTTTTTGTAGCCCCACCCATGGAGAATGAAAACTTTGTTACTCCGTCAATATAATAATAAATATAGAATATTTTTAAAACATTTTTCGACCCTTGTATTTACACAAGTTTCAAAACATATCCGTTATTATTTTAATAATACCTACTTTAAATGTTTTGTTTAGTTAACATTTTATTTTTTCTTAGGTATTTTAATATTGTTATAATTAATATTAGAAATATTTTAAGAGCATATTAAAATTGTATTAAAAACGTTTCCCATAATATTATTTAAATAAGATACCCAATAATATTACTCCACGATGTAATATTTTAACAGGCAACGTGCGTGTATAGTGTATTA